GGGCATCGTTCACTCCAAAACATTTCATGATCTCTAATGAGAGTCCCGTCTCTTGCATATGGTATCTTCGTCTTGTGTCGGCTTCCGGAAATAACAATCGGAAAATGATACGAGTTGTGCCAGGAGGTAATGGGGAGAACTTGGCGTATAATGCCTCTTTCCAGTTTCTGAAAACTTCCAGAGCTATACGAGACCTTTCTCGCCTATCGCGGCACGCTTTACGATGAGCTGTTTGAGCAATTTCTCGCACCAGAGTAGCAAAACTAATCAAGGAAATTAGATGATGTGAATAGCGGAAGAATCTAAGACGCACAAGGTAAAAGAAATACCATCCGGGATATCCGCCTCAGGCATTGTCAGCCTAATGGTAGAAGTCAAGAGTAAGTGGCAATACCATAGAACGTTCAACGCGCTCAATTGTTCTGCTGAGCCGCGGTCTCGTGATTTCTGAGTGGCGCTTACGTGGGCAATTCATGTATATACTGGCTTTGACACTAAGAACGTGAAGCTTCCATATCATATAGGAGTATTTAGTCTACTAGTACTACTTGTCCTCGAGCCTTATAAGCACTTTCTTTGTGTATTTGCCTTGCGCCAAGTCCGAAAATATAGTTCTGATCTTTTGTGTGACTTCTTCATCTGACTCTTTCGCTCCTAAAACTATGATATCGTGTTCAGGCGCTTTCAGCTTTGGTAGTATGTAAATTAGCAATACAATCAGAGAGACAGCAAGCCTTTAGAATTACCTTGCCATTGACCATCATCGAGGACAGATTGGCGATAAGGTCCTCTTTCTCTTTTCGTGAATGGACCTTGCTCCATTGTGTTTGCCAAAATCCATGAGAGGTCAGATTCTTGAATATGAACAAGGAGGTAGGAAGAGAAATGGGCTGCTTGGACATCGCGCCATAGGAGACCAGGTGAGCACCATGGCCAAGAAGTTTAACCATCGCGGTGTTAGCTTCTCCTCCAATGCAGTTCAGTCCTAATCGAATATCCTGTCCAACGTCGAGTGAATCTTCCTTTGATTGAATGATAGTGACAAGTATACCTTTCCTCCTGTCCACTGCTGTATTTTACTGCGTGTTGCCTTGTCTCTCAAGTCATCATATGTAAGGACGCGAGTCGCTCCCAGTTCCTCAAGGCTTCTCATCAATTTCTCAAGGTTATCTCTAGAGACAAATTTATCAGTTAGATCTATCTGGTTCGAATAGAAGGTCTCTTACCTTGCACGAACAAGATTGAGAGTGTTTAATCCCCTAGAGCTTGCAATCTGAATGACGAGCTTGCCAACCTGACACAAGAAATCAAAAAATTAGACTTCAGCGGTATGAACTCAATGACGAACCGCACTGTTAGCACCGTTCTGAACAATCCAGTCACCTTCTTTCAGATCCACAAACTCTTTCAACATGTTGAATGCAGTTGGGGGGTTGACCTGGGCATACGTTTAGTCGATGCAATGCAAGACATTGATATGCTTCGAACCGTCATTGTAGCACCATGAGCTTTGCTCAGACCGTCGCTTGCATTGAACGGTAGTTTGATGATGTCTGTGACCGCGACATTGCGGTGAGTAGACCAAGTTCCAAGTTGGGGTTTATCCATAACGACCCAATCATTCTTTTGTAATCCTTGGACACCATCCCCAACTTCAACCACTTCTGCCAATCCTTCATTACCACCCACAAATATAGGATAATCTTTACTACCTGGACCTGAGGTATTGAGATCCGACGCCAGAGTGGGTTTGGAGGGAGATACGCCTTCGATGGTGTTGATATCAGCTGGGTTTACCGCTGACAAGACAAACCGTATGTTGACAGAATTTGGTTTGGGTGGAGGCAAATCCGGGAAAGTAACGGCTGTGAGAACCTCTGACGGGTCACCATTTTTCGAGTAGACCACAGCCCGGTTTGCTACAACGGCAGACAAAGAAAATCGACGTTTGAACGCAGAGGGAAGTGATGCTCTAGGTAACATGGCGGTTCAAGTTCATTCCCTGATGAGGTCATTTTCCGGGTGCTTATGTGTACTTGACCGGACTATTAGCAACCTTCGTAAGTATAACTTTAAGCTCCTGAGTCAGGCGGCTCTCATGGTCGGCCTTAAGCTCTAGCTTTTAGTGCTTCTCCGGGTCATCGACCATTCCTCTACATCTCCCTTCCCATCCAACATGCCGATTGATACAAAGCTCACTCGTCTTCTGGGTATTCAGACCCCGTTAGTAGTACCTCCTATGGCAGGCGCTAGTGGAGGTGCCCTTGCTGCTCAGGTTTCCTCTGCAGGCGCGTTTGGATTCATCGCTGCTGGTGCGAACGTATTCTTTTGCAATATTCTTGCGACTGAAAAAAAAATAAATCAGGTTACGACTCTGTTGAAAGTCTTAAATCTCAAATCGGCATTGCTCGTTCCATTTTGCAATCTCACAAACTTGATGGATCATTCTTTGGCGTAGGGTTCCTTGCATGGCAACTCGACCAACGTAGAGATGAAGCAGAGAAACTAGTGAACATGGTCCTGGAACATAAAGCCAAGGCCATTTGGTTTGCGTTCGGGAATGATTTGCAGAAATGGATCAAATTTGTCAGAGATCACGACGAGCGCAAGGAAGAGAAGACACTCGTGTTCGTTCAGGTTAGCTCAACGGAAGAGGCGAGAATTGCTGTGGAGGAGTGGAAGATTGACGTGCTCGTCGTTCAAGGTGAAAATTTCGGTTTATCTGCTTCAGTCCATCATTTGAATTCTTGTGCAGGAATTGAATCTGGTGGTCATGGATCTAGTCATTCCCCACCCCTCTTGACTTTCCTCCCTTCTGTCTTATGCCTTCCAGCTCTCCGTGGAGAAGGGGGTGTTCCTGTACTAGCAGCGGGAGGTCTTGCCACAGGCGCTCACATTGCTGCTATGCTTGCCCTTGGCGCATCCGGTTCAGTTCTCGGCACTCGTTTTCTGCTTTCCCCAGAAAGTCTGTACACAGACGTGCAGAAAAAGGCACTCGTGGACGCGAAAGACAATTCGACTGTCAGAACTATGGCATTTGACACAGTCAGGGAAACTCTAGGATGGCCAGCAGGCATCGATGGAAGGGCTTTAAAAAATGGTAACGAGGGGATTCCCTCTACATTGCGATCACTGACCGTCGCGTAGATACTGTCCAGGACTTCGATTGTGGCACGCCTATCAATGTTCTTCAAGATAAGTTCAAAGAAGGAACCAAAAGTGGCAATCCCTCGCGCATGTTGGTGTGGTCCGGTACTGGCGTTGCTTTGATGAAAGAAGTGAATCCAGCCGCGGTGAGTGATATATTCTTGATTTGAGGCTTCGGATCGACTTAGGATCGCAGGATATCGTGCTCGAGCTCCACGAAGAATGCGAAAATCATTTGAAGGCCGTTGCTCAGACTTTGAGATAAGACGTATATCCGAGTAGCAAGCAAAGAGGGCAAGTTGTACGATTTGTGGGATATAAGACATAGCGAGATGCGGTCGTATTTGCTGATTGCGAATAGTCAAAGAGTCAATCCATTATCGAAATCATATGGGCCATTATACATAAACTATGGACGGAATCTATCGCGCCTTTCTATCCTCGAAGAAGTTCTGGTGAAAATGCGTTAGGTTTGTTGATGCGAGTGTTAAAAATCTTACTTTGAGATGTCTTAATTGCCACATGCAAGTGACAACAAGCACGACAATTTGAGCAACGCTATACCACACCGCTCTGGAGTTTGTAGTCTCACTCAGATCTCGGTAATCAGCCTCCCGTTCCCTTTGGTACTGTTGCTCCCTACGTATATCTTCCAATTTCTGGTTTAAATCCCTGATTTTAGCAGAAAGCTCAGATACATGAGTGCGGTCGTGTTCTGCATCGGCACGTGTCGTTCCGACAACAATATCAAGGTAGAGTCGTATGTGTGTGGAGGAGAACCAGGAGGTGTAGTTGGTCGAAAGACATATGGAATGGTCTCCTGATTCATGAGAAGTAAACGTGAACCGGCCTTCGGATGGGCCTTTTGTCTTGACTACCGTGTGGCCACTGTAAACTTCCTGTGTTTTGTGAAGACCATTGGAAATAACTTGAGGATCGTTTGGATAAAAACACACCTCAACTTCGACGTGTATGCCTAGGTTTTCGTCAACGACATATTCCTGTCTCGCTTCAGACCATTCTAAAGCCCTATAGTGACCTACACAGGAAAGAAATTTAGACAGAAAGAAAACAAGGGAATAGATGATAGTAAACCTTCAACGACAGTATCCGTTGGCAGTTCTTCGACGAAACATCTCTTCTCATTTGCATCCAAGTAAAAATGGAGCGCGTTTGCAGCCAGTGCTAAGGAAAGAAGGATCGACGGTAGAAAGAGGTTCCGCATTGGAAAGAGTACTTCAGGACGTGAACACCCGAAATTGGAATTATCACAGGTTTCATAATACGTGGCGGTTATTTGGACCTGCTGGTTACGCCAAACATGATACAACCACCGTGGCACTTGAATCTTTTGCCGCCTGGCAAACGACTTTACAGACCCAAGTCAGCCGTTGCAAATCTTCGGGCAAGGGGGATCACTTAAAACATGAATCCTTCAAGGAGTTCAAACTCCTTTCCGTTCACGAACTTGGTTATTTCAAACGGGGCTAGGATGTGCCTTGAAACCGCCGCACATAACACATATGCGTATAGCGTGCGTACTGTCGTGTGTGTACACATATATGTATATATGCACTTGGGTACTTTGATCATTGTGCAGTCTTCGGTCAGAGACTCATCTTACGACAGGAGTATCCACATCTCGCCGGGTTCATGTTACAAGACATGCTATTAGTAGATTACAGGATTAATTGAATGGGAACAATGTCGTTCATCACGATCACTACATACTAATACCTAGTGAAAATGATCCTGCGGGACCGGGTCAGCTAATGGGAGGCTAGAGCTGACTGAACTCTAGAAACAGCGGGGTTTAGATTGTCCTGCAGATGACAGGGCGCTCAAGATAGAACTGCTCTCAGAAAGACTCGAGCTTGCAACCTCGGGGTTAAAAACAACTCGCGCTCTACTAACTGAGCTAAAGAAGCGTCAAAAAGAAAAAGAGAGTATTCGGGTGAGTCGGCTAATAGCCGCAGAAGCCGGCGGGAGCACATGCACAGCCGGCGGAAAGGTTGGCACGTGGGAAAGAGTTGTGATAGATATGCTGTCGGAGTTCCAAATGTGGATGACGAGCGTTTCTCTGCCAAACGACGGCGAATTTCCGGTCGAAGCTCTCGCGCCCCAAGTCCAACTGAATTCCCCTTTCTCGTGTGAACAATTCCATCCTCTGTTTCTTCTCCCAAAATTTCGCGTTCGCTTCCTCCTCACCTAATTCTTCCAATTTATCCCACTTCCCAATTCCAATTCCCTCCCAGCCAACAAACTTCCAAAGTCGTCCTCAGCTCTCCCGATAATCGGTGCGCTTTTTGAGAACTCGTCCGCTTTTTTCACTGACATGATCACAGGATGTGCAACAGTATCCTTAGATGAGTGTCCCATCCGCAAACACTAAACGCAAACGTCTCTCAAAGGCGTGTGACGGGTGCCATCGTTCTAAACGAAGGTTTGCTTTGAGTGTCTCGGTTTTAGTGGTTCGTTGTCTACAACTCAAATTTTCTCCAATGTAGATGTGATGGCACGAATCCTTGTGGCAACTGCTACTTTGCCTCAAAGATTTGTACCTACACTGATTCAAGTGGTCGCCCAGTACCAGCTCCTAGAACCGCCAGTACTCCACAGCAACCTTCTGTCCCATACACCCAGTCTAACCAATTCCACTCATCATTTGTTCACCAACAAGATCTCTCTGCTGTTCGCAAGCGTCGCCGCCCAGATGAGCCTGGCCTTACCCTCACTCTTGAACCCTCTCTCACTCGCGAACTTACAAACCGTTAGTCCACTCCATCTGCTTATCGCATCTGGGTTTTCATTGCCTTGCAGTATTCCTTACACATGACCATCCTGCCCTATCTATTATCCACAAGCCCTCCTTTACCAATGCCCTTTCCCTCAACCAGGTTCCTCTTCATCTGCTTTATGTATGTTTTATAACTTGCTTGTCGTCCCTCTATCTTATGTTTCTTTAGGCCATGTGTGCGATGGCAGCACGCCATTCAAAACAACCTTCAATCTCTACTGGTCGCTTTTCTGGCCGTCAATTCGCTGAGGAAGCTGTACGCTTGATGTTTGATGACGGACACGGAGGTAGATTTGTTGGCTTTCTTTTATTTTACCCTTGTAACGCTTACGTCATTTGCATCAACAGAGGGCAGGCTCATCGTCCCGCCCACGTACCAGACAGCACAGGCTCTTTGTATTCTCATGATCCATGAAATATTGGGAACACAGCAAAGACCGCACGGCGGGAAGGAAAATGACACCTCTGATTCAGCGCCAACGCCTGCCGTCCACAGCGCAGACCAAACATCCTTTTCTAGGGAAGAAAGATTCCGAAGTAAGCGTCTTTCCCCCCCGTTCACCTCGTTCCCTAACGTGATTGTCAGATATAACCCTTCAGCTGTTGCAAACACTCGGCGCTCACTCCCCCGAACATCCACTTCTTACGCCCGTTCCCTCTCAACACTACATAGAAGTTAGCATTGAACGAGAATGCATAAGGTACATCTTCCCTTGTTATCGGATCTGGCAAAAATCCCATCTTACTGTTCTAGACGTATATTTTGGGTTATATACGTGGTCGACTGTATGCGAGGAATATATTACAAACGGGAAGGAAACATGCTCGGCGGTAGTGGTCGGGGCTATTCGGGTCTTGGCTCGCCATCCAGCATATATGCTTCGAGCGTCAAACCATCACCCCCAGCAACTTTGTCGAGTTACTCTGGTATCTCAGGTTCTGGTACATCATTAGAACCTTCAACGTCAAGACAAACGCTGTCCAATCCGTACCCTGTACCGTCTCCTCCGTCGGTATCACCACCTGGTACCTCTGAATGGAACATGGCAATCCTGATGGGCAATGGAGGAATTGCGGGTTTCAGCGAGGCTGATTTGAGATTAAGGCTACCGGCAGATGAGACTAGCTTTGAAATGGGCGTTGTACATGAAATACTTCCTGGTTCGCACTCGGTTAAATCAAATTTATCAAAAACACTGACATGTAGATGTTGTAGAATATCTTCACTTAGCACCCACACGGGCCCAGTCACCGTCCGAACTTGCACATATGATCCGAATACTCACCATCTATTCCAAAGTCGAATGGAATTTAGACTACATCGTTGATTCCTTGCCTCATATTCGTGGTCAAGCCCGCTACACTCTCAACGAGTGTGAAAAGCTCATGCTCGCATGGGTAGAGTCATTGCCCCAAGAACTTCGCTTCACAGACCAGAACCTCAGTGTTCAACGCAGTATGCTAGAGACATCTAGCAACACGGGCGCGTGGTGTTTTGCTTTAACTCATGTATTACATGCGAGTTGTGTGCTAGCATTGGGTATTTATAATCGGTATGTGGCGGTAGAGAGTGGAAAAGATTACGGACCTATCAGTGACATAGTCAGGACTAAGACAGAAGAGATGCAGTGGGCATCTAGTGTCTTTGACGCAATTCTGGAGATGTTAGGAGAGAGGGCTAGAAACAGTATCATCCGTGCGTCGTTCACATCTAAGTGCCTCTAACACGATCCTCATTTTGTTTTATGGCAGTCGGAGCTGTCCTATGGCCTATCATTAGGTACACTTCTCGCGAAGACAAGAAGGTGCAACAACTTCTGGAATATTTCGAAGATTTCACCGGCGTTAGGATGGATCAAGTTGCAGGAGCAAAGTGGTCACCTGAGGCTCCGAGCACGATTAATGATGGTTCTGGTCGACATGATCAACAATCTTCGTCCAACTTGGAACTGCCCCTTTTATCAACAGGTGCAGGGCCGGCGTCCATGTCTAGCATTCTAGTCAACGGCCATGGGGGCGCACTTGGGCCGAGTTCCCAGTTGTATGGTAAGAATTATGATGCTGGCGATGCTCAGTCTTGTCTTCCCTCTTCCTCCCGTATGGAATCTCGTCAAAATCAAAATTCGTCCAACTGTTTACCGTCACTCAAGTCGAGTGGATTATTGGATTGGAATAATGACGGCAATTCAAGTTGGCCCTCACCTAGTGGTCCGAGCCTGTCAAACGTATCGATGCCTTCTGGGTATTCACCCATCTCATTGTCTGACGCAACAACGTCCGCGACAGCGCCGCTCCAATCTACTCAAGTACATTCACCCGTCCAAACTTCGAACGTGGATGGAGCTCAGACAGGAGGAAGGGTAGGTTTATCATGGATGATGAATGGATGACAGGTTGTGCCCATGTGGGGATCTTCTATCACCTTCGACTTGTGCTGCTGGTTGCAATTGTGGCTGCCCCGTTGTGCATGTTCTTTACACAGGATCACATCATATTCCAAGTTTTTTTTTTCATATATATATACACCATTCTATCCCTAGTTTCTAAGCTTATTGTTGCATGCATCCAAATATTTCCTTTGCAATTGTTCAGTGGTGTATATATGTGTATCCATAGTACATGTCATCTTTCTATTTCATATCCTATCATCAAATTTTTAGCTTTGAACTACCCTACATTGTATTTATGTCTTACAATCTCATGATTTCACACCACAAACAATTACATTTTCTGTACTAGAGGTTAAAGCCAAGCATAAAACATTAGGAGTGGTCAGGCACAGAATACCATCACTAAAGTCCACATACCTATACATAGATCATATCTAGTGCCTCATCCAGGAGAAATTCTAGTAAGTGAGACACAAATAGATACACAGGGTCCAGGGGTTGGCTGTCAACTATCATTCTGGATCAGTAAAATGTCATAATGATAGTGAGTTACAGTTATTCCTGTCGAAGAGAGAGTTCCTTATACCATTGTGGCTGAACACTTCCTTATTTAGTATCCCTTTTTCCTTTTCTATTCATTTCACCTATTATTGGCAGACTCTGTTTCATCACTATGATACTATTTGTTTGTACTATACCCCTAGCCACATTATGATTGGCTAGATATACCTAGTACTATGGACTCTACATTCCTCAGTCATTCCCACTGTTGTGTGAACCTGAGGTATGTTTCAACAGTTATTTCTTTTGTACATTACATACTGATCACTTCTACAGTACTCATTACTTTGTATTTTCAACAGGTACTGTAGATCTAAGTTAGTTGTTCCACTATTGTGTGAACCTGAGTACTCATTACTTTGTATTTTCAACAGGTTATGGGTCCAGTGCTCTAAACCCTGCAACTGAAGTACTCCTCACACAATTGTTCATTTGACTCAAAGAAACAGGATCTGACATATTCCCCAAACATTCCAGCTCTTGTCGTTCTTACCCCTAAACAAGCACTATCAGTCATCCCAGCAACTTTAAAATGATCCAGGAACTTCCTGATGATGAGAAGTTCAACAGAGAGAATTTTATTACTGTAGCATTTCGTTCAATTCAGCAGTCACAGGTCACAGCCCTCAGGAATTGACCGAATTGTCACAGAAGTCACAGCCAAAATCTGGTCCTGCCAAAATTTTTTGCTGTGACTGTGGAAAAATCTCTGTAAATCACCATCCAAAATGGAAATTTCTGCTCAGAAATGCCGGAATTTCTTAGGAAGTCACAGTCACAGATGTGAATTGCCAGAGTGCTGAAACGGTTCCAATTATCACAGGTCACACCCCCTGCTGAATTGAATGAAATGGTACAGTAGCTGGAAGGAGTCTATACTACAACATGGAAGACTGAAAGGACTGGATTTATATTGGGAGGGGAAGGTATCTAGACCTACTGCATCAGAGACAACAATAGGCTTAGTGGCAATGGCTGTAAATGATCCAAACCTGAACAAACTTGAATACCCAATCCAGGAGTCAGCTGCATATTTAACCCTTTGGTCAAACATAATGCCAAGACCTAGATTCCACAAATCACAAGTAAGTCGTCAACGAGAGAGATTTGAGAATCATGAGAATAAGTCCCTGGGTGATTAACCAGACTAGAGTAAGGAATCTACAAGATACACTACAGT